TATTGTGACTTTTTTTTTGTTTCAATGGAATCATACTCCAAAGAACATAACCTGTTTGCCACTTTAGAGGGTATAGTTTCAGCATCTAAAGGAATAATGGAATAATGACTATAATTAGTTGAAGAATATTAACTATATAAGATTCCATTTGTCTAAAGTCATAGCCCAAAAAAATGAATTAAACGATGTAAAGCATTTAGATGAGTACCTGCCACAAGGTGACTGGTATGTGGGAACATTCATGCCTTAAATTATTGCCAATGTTTAAAAATATGACATAATCAAATGGTATAATTTTTAACAATCTGAATAGTCTGGTATTCTGTCACTTTATATATTTTGGATTTTCCTCATCACCAGTGAGGTGGAAATCCTTGTATATTTATTGGTCAGCTGAATTTTTCTCTCATGAAATGCCAGTCTTTATGATTTTTACATTAAAAAACATTTTTCTTACTGATTAATAAAAGGTGTTTGCTATATATTGATCTTTTTTTGTTTATTGCAAATATATTTTCAGCTTGTCATTGTTTTAGCTTTGTTCATCTTTTTTCAATGCAGAAATTTAAATTTTTCTTCCCCTAAAATTTGTCACTTTTTTTTCCTTTATGGCTTTTGACTTGAATATATTTCATATATGCCTCTATTGCTTTTATAGATTCTTTTGCTTTCTGGTTAGGACTTTAAATAGAAAAAACTTGTTTTTGAGTGTGAAATTAGATAGAAACCTAAGTTTTCTTTTTTCCAAATAGTTTTATTTCTCATGTGAAATAATTTATAATAGAATGTGATAAGATCAGCAGCATTAGGAATTTGCAGCCTCTACCAAGCCTGCTCTCTTCTCTTTGTACCAATCTCTGCAATAACATGGGGGTAAATTATCCCGTCAGTTTTTGTCTAGATCTCCCTGCCTCAAGTTCCCACACTATCATGTGATTACAAGCCATGCTGAGACAGGATAGTGGCAGTCGAGTTGACAAGAAGGTCTCAATTCATTCTCTGGTGGCAGTTAGGGTGAGGCTACATTGCCACAGAATCAGAACATTGCAGATATCATTCCACACTTTCCTGTTGTTTTCGTGGAAAAGTCAGCTGTCAGTAAATTTTGTCTTTCTTTTATAGTAATGCATCCTTTTCTTCTAATTGTTTTCATAATCCTATATTTGCATCTGGTATTCTATGTATAGTTTCAGTTTGATGTGTCTAAATGCAGATTTCCTGCTTGGCTTTGCTGGTTTACTAATTCTGAGTTATAGGGTGTTTAATCAGTTGTGAAAATTTCTCATTCTGTAGATCTTTGTAAATTGCTTCCCTTATTTCAATATAATATTTCAAAAACTATGTATAGGCATATGTTAGACCTTACTGTATTCTCCGTATTTATTCAAATTTCCTTTATGTTTTCTGTCACTTTGTTTCTGCTTCATTTTTAAGATTTTTTTAATGTATATTCCAGTTCACTATTTATCTCTTCAGTATATCTAATATGATAACCTTTCTGTTAATATACGTACATGTGTCCATATACATATATACACATGCATATGTGTGTATATTATGTACATGTATATTTAATATATATTTTCAATAATTTTTTCCCAATTTGAGTAATATTCTTTAATAGTTTCTTGTGCTTTCTATATATTTCTATTTTTTAATCCATTCAATAATTAAACACTTATTCAGTATCCTGTGACTCTAGCATCTGGCGTTTCTTCATGTCTTATGCTGGTATCAGCTGGGAAGGATTGCAGTGAATGTAGCAATCTATATCATATATATGAATGTCACTTGCATATAATTTCTTGACTGGTTAGTAGCTTCTGAAATTAAAACTTATACATAAAACCTGTTTTTCCTGAAAGGATTTGATATAAAACCTTATACTTTGTTGAGTGAATGGGGCACTGCACAATTATAGAATCCTTGGAGATTGGTTCTGTGACAATGTATTACAAAATACAATAGGCTTATAGATGCATGCAGTTTATATGGTTAATATGAGCAGGACAACTTCTTTCACATTCCTTCCATGTCAATAAAAGAGAAACACTTCATATTAAGCAGGACTGTGTTTCTCAGGAATCGCTGACCCCAGAGGACGTGGCCGTGGAGTTCACCTGGGAGGAGTGGCAGCTCCTGGGCCCTGCGCAGAAGGACCTGTACCGGGACGTGATGCTGGAGAACTACAGCAACCTGGTGTCAGTGGGTGAGGACGGTGCCCCATGTCGCTCAGAGGGTGCCCAGACTGTGGCCTTTGCTTTCTTAGTCATTTACCCTTGGAAGTCACTGCACTGCTCTGAAGAGAAGATTTGTACTGCATCCTCTGGCTTCTGATAAAATGATATACAGTCACCCTTTGGTATCTGCAGGGGATTGGTTCCAGGACCTTCCATGGATACCAAATCCACAGATGCTCAAGTCCTCATACAAAATGGCATAGTATCTGCATATAACCTACACACATCCTTTTGTATTCTTTAAATCATTTCTAGATTACTTATGATACTTAATATAATATAAATGCTCTGTAAATAGTTGTTATACTATATTTCTTATTTGTATCACTTTTTATTGTTGTGTTGTTATTTGCTATTGGGTTTTTATCAAATATTTCCAAACTGCAATTGGTTGAATCCGCAGATGTGGAGCCTGCAGATACGAAGGCTGATGGTAATCTACCCTCTCCTGAGAGAAAAGCCTCTACATTTCCGATGTGAAATCCGTCTAGTTCCTAAAATGTAACGTTCTTCCATGTTACATACACCAGCCCAATTGTGTCTAAGTCTCCTATCATTTCCCATAAACAGGGTATCAAGCCAGGAAGCCAGATGCACTCTCCAAGTTGGAACGAGGAGAAGGACCATGGACAATAGAAGATGAAACATGTAGTCGAATCTGTCCAGGTGAGTGAGCAGCAGCAAGACGCACAACTGCAGAAGTCATGTTATAGTCAATCAGAGGAGGCCGTGTGAGTGTCTGAGGCATAGAAACAGTGCCTCCAGGTATCTCTCTCCCCATATCAGAACTTTTACGTATTTAGAGGGAAATATATCCCTGTTTTCTTTCCTTAGATCTGCTCTCTGCTTGTGTTATCTTCCATCTTAATTTTGGTTTGTTTGCCTAGTTTTCTTCTTCCTTGGATTCTATTGTCCTCCCCTTTATATCCTGTCACAGTGTCTCTGCCTGTTCATTCCACTTCCCTGGCTGTTAAATTCCACCTTCTAAATAGGTGCTTCACAGAGAGACCTTTGAGTTAATCACTGTCTTTTGACTATTGCACTTTTCTGCCCCATTGAGAAATACTGATTTCTCTAACATCCAGCCTCACCTTGTATATTGTGCCCTCGTGGCAACCTGGTCTCCTACTGCATTTGTCCGGCTCCTTAGCTTCTCTACCCACCCTCAACAACCCCCTCTGAGGTTCCTCAATGGTTCCATTTTCTCTGCTGTTCTCCTAATCCTTGTAATTCTCCTTCATTCCAGTTAACTCTTTACATTCTCTGGATAAGACTCCAGATTGACATCTCCCTTAGTATTGTCCCGCGTATAAAACTGACCTATGATTTCCTATCTCCTGTGTGAGGAATAGGAGTCATCTTCCCTCCACAGAAAACCTTTCACCTTTTCCATCTTATTTTAAGGTTACAGTCTCCTTTAGTACCGCACATCATCTGCTCTGTCCATGCTGGTGTTATGTCGAATGTCCTGGACCCGTGGAATTCTCTTCTTAAAGGCCTCTGTTGTTTCTGTTGACTCTTTAACTAGAAGGGACTGTTCTACATCAGTTCCAGTCCAACCTAGGTCATAACTTATGTTTGCCTCAGAGACCTTCGTTGTACAATTGGTATTTCTGATTCTCCTTTAGTTCATCTTAGACATTAGCATTGTATTCATTTCCCTAAATTGTTTTTCTCATTATATATTTGGTTTTTTTAAAAGAGCTTTATTGAGATAACTTACATACCATACAATTTGCCAATTTAAAGTTTACAATTCAGTGCTTTGTAGTATATGAAGTTACATTACCATCACCACAATCAATTTGGGAAGATTTTCACTGACTGCATCACTTTAAAAAAAAAAAATTCTTCCCAAGCCCCCAGCCCTAGGCAACCACTAATCTACTTTTCTCTGTATAAATTTGCTTGTTCTGGACGTTTCGTATAAATAGAATCAAAAAATATATGGTCTTTCATGTCTGGCTTCCTTCATTTAACATATTTTTTAAAGTTCTTCCATATTTTGGCATGTATCAGTACTTCATTCCTTTTTATTGTTGAATAATAATCCATTGTATGGATATACCACATTTTATTTATCCATTCATCTATTGATGGACATTTGGGTTGTTTCCATTTTTTGGCTTTTATGAATCATGCTGCCAAGAACATTTATGTACAACTTTTTCGTGAAGATATATTTTCATTTTTCTTATTTACCTAGGAGAAGAATTCCTGGGTTATACATGGTCAAGGGCTCTGGTGTCCAATCCTCAGGCCTGTTAGGGACTGGGCGGTAGAGCTCTGTCTGCCACACCACTACCCATGGAAAATTGTCTTCCATGAAACTTAGGAACCGGAGGCCACACAGCAGGAGGTGAGCAGTGGACAAGCGAGTGAAGCTTCATCTGTATTTACAGCCACTCCTTGTTGCTCGCATCACTGCCTGAGCACTGCCTCCCCCTTGCATCTGTGGAAAAATTGTCTTCCATGAAACCGGTCCCTTGTGCCAAAAACGTTGGGGACTGCTGGTCTAGGAGGAGTCCAAATGCAGTGTTTCTGGTCATCCTCTCCCTGTGGTAATCCTTTCCGTGGGCTCATGGATGGTGTTACTTCTTCCTGGCCACAGGGTGTGACAATATAGACAGAGTATTGCCAACCAGGGAAGCTCACTTGAGCCTTTGGTGTCCAGAGTTTTTACTGGGGCTCAATCACATACTGCCCACCTGGCTGACCTTTAAACTCCACCCTCTCTCAGAAATTGAGCTAATACCTACAGTCTCCAGTTCCTCTAAAGGTTGGAGGGGTATGGCATGGCCCAGAGCTCCTATCGTAAATCACATTGTTAGACTATCCAGTGGCCAAAGCCACTAGGCAAACAAAGACACTCCTGTGGGACGGGACATTCCAGGAGCCTAGAGATCTCTTCCCAGTAGCCAAGAGCAAAGGGTAGACTTCTCTTTGGGGAAGTTAGAGCTTCACTACACAGGAGTTACTGCAAAAATGAAAAAAATCAGTGGATTAATTTAGAAATAGGAGATAGAGTGTATGGTGGTATAGTCAGAATTAGAATGAGTGTATGACGTTCACAAGGTATATCTAGATTTGAAGTAGGAAAATGATGGCATGAATTAAGAATAAAGGGGTGAAATAGACATGAAATGTGCGAGGCTGTGGGGTTGACTACTGAAAGATTGGCCTGAAGTCAACCAAATAAAGGCCAGTGTTAGAAGGTATCTGCTGGGGAAATAGTGGAGCACAAACACGGATAAATGGAATACTCACGGTAATGTAAACTTTTACTGCCAGGATCGTTTAGATTTTATATGTGAGTACTTGAGGCAGCGCAGTGGAGGGTTGGTTTTGTATTTTTCTCTTTTCACATCTAGGTAGTCTTAACCTTTCACCTAGGCGACAGCAATGTAAATGACCAAATGTTCCAAGAAAAACTGAAGGTCAAGCTGGCACAACCTTGGTCCAGAGGAAGTTTATCCTTTAGTACAACTTAACCGATGCTGAGACATAAATATAGTATTACTGAAGTAGATGCTGTTGGGGGCAAAATGAGGGAAAAGTACATCAGGGACGCGGAAATGGGAAACATTGGATATGACTTCCCTACTGCATGCAGAATGTGATTGAAGAAGGTGACAGTATTCATATCCTATGCAGCACTGTGTTAGCTTTTGAAGATGACTGCATGGTACACCGGCCAGTTGCAAAATTCCCTCACAATCATTGTTTTCTTATTTCATTATGAATGGAACATATGACAACATGACACAGGCAGACCAAATGTTGGAGTGTTGATTATAGGAGTTGTCTATTAAATGTCATTGATGTTTTTGGAAAGCTAGTTTGATGGTAGTCTACACATTGAAGAAGGGCAAATTTAGGAACAAGATTACCATACAAGAGTATCTCAGTTCACTTTAACAGTTTGTTTCTTCTAAGAGGGCTTAAAGAATCCCAAAACTCTAAATGTTGAAATATCTAAAACCTTGGTTCTATACCTTACTCAACTTTCATTCTACATGTCTTACCAACATGTCATCCAGTTCTCTTTGCTTTCTTTCTTTCTTTTTTTTTTTTGAGACAGAGTTTTGCTCTGTTGTTGGGGCTAGAGTGCTGTGGTGTCAGCCTAGCTCACAGCAACCTCAAATTCCTGGGCTCAAGTGATCCTCCTGCCTCAGCCTCCTGAGTAGCTGGGACTACAGGTGTATGATACCACACCCGGCTAATTTTTCTATTTTTAGTAGAGACAGGGCCTGAGTCTT